TTGACTCCACAGTCAGCAGTTAGCATTGTCAGATTCAACCAACGACGGATTGAAAACAGCACTTTCAACCCGCGATTGGGAACCTGAAGTTGTGAATCTACCGTTGGGAATGTGAAAATAATTTTGTTCATCCTTTGTTGATTGAATCACAGATGCAAAACCCACAGGTACAAAGGGACAACTGCATTTATTGACAAAAATCCTTATATAAGTGGACCCACCCAGTTCAAACCCATGTTGTTCAAGGATCATTCAACAAGCCACAAATGCTGCACTCAGGATAAACCAGTTCCCTGCCACCTAATGCTTATCAAATGCAGAAAGGTTCTGTGACTTCCAGTCAGTCAGTTTGGGTAGGGGGGGACCTACAGCTCAGGCCTCCAAACTTTTGGACCCGTACCATTCTTCATACCACCATCCTGAAGCATCTTTTTAAAAGCAAAAGCCTTTCTGTCCTCAACCAGGGAAGTACTTATGTCTGGAATAATTAAACTGTGATGTGATCCAGACCTGTGCTTTTTGCCTAATCAAAAAACCAATTATAGCAACAGACCTTGGGGACACCTGGGCATACTGAGGGAGACCACGCCTAGAAAACTGACCTTCCACCCAGGATTTCACAGTGAACAGCTCAGAAATGTGCGGAATTGTGACTCGTTGTTTTGCACTTGGCAAGCCGGCCAGCATTTAGCTGCCATCTCCATTTGGTTGGGAGAAGTGAGGAGATAGGAGAAAGACAGAAAAAGAAAGGGAGTTGGGGGCGGGTAGGTGGAGACAGAAAAGAAGATTGGCAAGGGAAGCCCCTCGAAAGCCCTGACACAGCCCTGCCTGCTCTGCCCGATATCAGTGACTGCTGAGAACAAAAAATGTCTCCCACTGAAAGTGCTACAATGTGCCCTGTTCTGCGTGGAACATTATATCCCTCTATCCTCACCACATTAACAGGACTTGACTCCCATTAACCAGCCAAGTGCCTGGTGGTGTCCTTCCTCACATCCTATGACGGTCACCCATGTGACCACCACGCAGTTTTCATCCAAAGAAAACAGTGGAGGTAAAATTGTGCATGTGGCTATAGGTATCCGTGTATGTGTTTACGTATGTATACATGTGTATGTCTGTACACACACACACCTGGCACAATGTTTTCAAGGTGAGATAGTTTTAGTCACCCGCTCATACAATCCTAGAGATCTTACCTTTTGGGGTCATCCATCAGTCACCACCTCACCGTCTGCTTCCTGCACACTCGTCACCCGGCAGCCCTCACCCTTCTCCAAGCAAGGCGTGCACTCCCACGCCCCAGGCCTTCCCTCTTTGATCCTCCTGCTAAAATTCTGTGTTGACTTCGCTCAAACACCACCCCTCTTAATCCTCCTGTTCCGTTACCTGTTCCATTACACCTCCTCTGGTATTTCATGGGGTTCGTTCCGCATGGCCCTCCATCTAGACTGTCCACTGCTTACGGGCAGGACCCTCGCTGCACTCACATTTGTCTCCCTGATGGGCCTAATAAAGTGCGCTGCTGCTGTCCAAACGTCTCTCCCTTTTGAGTTTCCCGTACAGCAGGGGTTGTGTGGGGAGCGTGCAGAGCTTTCTCCGTGACACGGAGTGACAGCACTGCCTGTCATGTGAAAATGACAAGGTGCTGCATCAGGGGGTGACATATTCCTTTTCTCTGTATTTTCACCATCTAACACACTAAAGATTTTATTGGCATGTTGTTTGTCTGACTCCTCCTATCAGAACATCAGCTCCATGAGGGCAGAGATTTGGGTCTGTTGTGTTCACCACTGAACCCTCAACCACTGGCTGGTGCATAGTAGGCACTCAATATAGCACTGTTGAATGGATTAATTGGTCTCAGGCAAAAGGAACAAGAGAGATCTCAAAACAAAATCATCTTTAGTCTGCTTAGTGTTTGCATCAAGCATAAGGGAGAGAGATGAAACAAAACTACCCAAATTGCTACAGTAGCCCCAAAAGTCTGGAATTCCCCAAATCCATCAACAAAAAAACCTCTATAAACCCTAGGGACTTGCCGAGGCAGGTATGCCACCACCAAATGGGCATCTGTCCCTGTGCAGACCCACGCGTCCAACCCTCCTCTGAGAGCACACACAGGCACATCTTAGATGCACACTCACTTCTTCCGGGCAAGTCTTTTCACTCAGTGGCCCTGGATGTGTTCTGGACTGAATTACATCCTCCCAAAATTCCTATGTTAAAGTCCTAACCCCCAATACCTCAGAATGTGACTCTTTGGAGATAGTGGCTTTCAAGAGATAATTAAGGTAAACTTAGTTCATTAGGGTGGGCCCTAATCCAATAAGACTTGTGTCCTTGTAAGAAGAGGGATTAGGACACAGAACGCACAGAGGGAAGGCCATGTGAGGACACAGGGAGAAGACGGCCATCTATAAGCCAAGGAGAATGGCCTCGGAAGAAACCAACCTGCCGTCACCTTGATCTCAAACTTCTCGCCTCCAGAACTGTGAGAATATAAATTTCTGTCATTTAACCCCCTAGTCGGTGGTACTTGTTATAGCTGCCCAAGCAAACTAATACAACATGGGAAATGCAAAAGGAAAACATGCTTTCGTTAAGGATACCCCAGTTGAACGCAGGCCAGTAAACCGTGGGGCAAATGAAATGGTGTGCACATCAAGTGAGGAGCGGGTGAACAAGGAACAAACAAAGACATAATCTGTTGACATTTTTATATTTGGTATTTGTAAGTCTTTTTAAAAATTTTTTTCAGGCCGTTTTTTTTCTTAAAAAACAAACAAACAAAAAAGCAACCAACAGCAATACTCTGTACAAGTATAACAAACATTAGAAATATGCATCATTCCAAAATAGTTACAAGAAAATTACAGTTTTAGAGTCTACATCAACACATCCTATCCATATGTGCCCCGTGGGGAAAAAGCTACAGTATGTTGAACACTCGACTGCTCCGTATAGTCTGAAAACTCGGAACTTGGACTTTCGAGGCAAATCGACGTCAGTCACCAAGTCTTGTTTAGCTCAATGAGCACAATCAAGCATTTCAAAAGAAAAGCAGGCTTTTCCGTCCCAGATGAGAAGCCAACACGAATCAGCCGCATAGTTTGCCCCTAACCCCCAGGAACCTCTGACTCGACGAAGCCCAAATCCAATGATGCCGGAGTCTAGCGGGAGGTCACTGCATGGCCACAGAGGACAGGCTCCAGATGTTACTCCCTCCTGGTGTCGCTAGATTTAACGTTGGAGGCCAAATGTCCTTGCTCTGGGGAGAGCAATGGCCCAAATCCCCCAAACCACTGACCACCCATCTTTAGCCCTTTCACTGACCACTAATCCCACCCTGGATGCCTTTCTCTATGTAACTGTCAAATCCTAAGGCAGGGCGATCACACCATCTCCATGATTCCACTGGACTCCTCAATTTAGTGCTTTGTTCCTGGGAGGGTTTGGTGCAGGAGCTCAGAAGCACCTTCCTCTTTCCTATGAACAGCCCCCACCCATACGTCCTGTAGATTTTACACATTAATCTTCCCTTTTCTATCACTGTGCTATAAATACCCTCACCACCCTCACTGGCCCCGCCCCCTAGCTGTCTTCAGGATGCAGAGCAGGATCGTGACCTTCATATGACCTGCCATTTGGAATCCAGACCTCTCCAGCACAAGCCTTCCTTTGGGACTGGGAATGACATCCGGGAGCGGTCCATTTCCCAAGCCCACACCAGGCGGAAGGAAGGCGGGTTTCTGTGTTCTGAGTTTGTATACAATATGTTTATAATTATTGTTGCTTTCATTAATTTTAAAGGAATTTTAGAGCCAAGTCCTTCCCTCTGACTTCTCCATGGCAGCGATGCGGGCAGGGCAAGGTGTAGCCTTTCCATGGGATCTGACACCTAAACACCCATCACAATGGTTTCCTGACAAATTGGAGTGGGGAGGGCTGTGGCCCACAGAACTGCCTCCTGCACAGGGAGCTCAAAATGAAATTCTGGAACTCTCCCAAATCTGCCTGCATTGAGGGGCAGACCAGTGTGAACGTTTGGAAGCAATCCGCCCAAACCCGGCTGCACTCAACACCCCAGCACAGCCTGGCTTCCCTGATTCGGACCTACAGAGCCGAAGGCCCCTCTGAGGTTGAGTCAAGAGGGCCCGGCCTGGCCTGGCTAGCCCATTCCTTCAGGAGCCTGATATTGAATGAACCGCTTACTACCAAAGGGAGCAAAGGATTCAGCAAAAAGTGCAATTTCCATTTGGGAAGCAAGGTTCTCCCCAAAGGTAACACCGCCATCACCACCTCTCCTTTTCATCCTTTCAGTACCTTAAAGGGGAAGGGGGACAAAAGACGTACAGCGCTAAACCTCTGAACCAAATTAAGGGCTGCCATGTGTTGTAGTTCACCCTTCACAGCCTTAAAATACCCACTCACATGTCCAGTCAGTTATCAAAGTGCCGCGAGTGGAGGAGCATGGCGGGGTCAGGAGCCGGGCTGCCACAGGTCAACAGGGACCAGGGCACTCGGAGAAGACCCCGCTCCCATCTTCAACAGGACACATTTGTCCTAAGTTTACAGCAGGATTTATGACTGTGGCAAATGGCCACAGGCTTCCAGGGACTTGGTAATTCCTTCATAAGACCGTGTATATACTTCATTGCCTATTGGAGGATACACTCAAAACTTCTTCACAATATAACCTGAGCCACAATATAAAATAAAAAGAAACAAATCCTTTCATGTTAATGCCTTGAGAGTTTACAGATTATGTACCAATAAAATAAATCCACATAAATTCTGAAGTTCTTGGTGGATATACACCTGAAGCAAAAAAAAAAAAAAAAAAAAAAAAACACTTAAAAAAAATCAAAGTAATTACAGCAGCAGTNAAACAAATCCTTTCATGTTAATGCCTTGAGAGTTTACAGATTATGTACCAATAAAATAAATCCACATAAATTCTGAAGTTCTTGGTGGATATACAAAAAAAAAAAAAAGTTAATCTACACTTAAAAAAAATCAAAGTAATTACAGCAGCAGTATAGTGAAAAGAGGTTTTAAAAATAATAATTACATCTTTGATACAAATTCAAATTTTGTACACCTCAATTCGAAGGAATGACTGTTTTTAAGGGTTTAGTATATATATAAATGTATATATATACACATATATATGTATATATATATACACACACAGTAGATAGCGATATGTGTCACTGCAGATAGACTAAAGCCAGTGGACTTTGAAGGAGGAGGGATTAATTTTGACACTGTTTTCACACTGAAGTGTTCACAGATTGCCACGCTTTTAAAAACGCACACACATATACACAGACACACATAAAATGCCAACCTGAGTAAAACATTACTAAAAACCTAGAGTATCATGAATCACTAAGTCACATATTGCACCTTTAAATAATCCTTCTTACCAAATACAGAAATGAGAAAAAGGATAAAACAGGAACAAGGAAAGGAGAGAACATCATTCTAGGGTTCCTCTGCTTCCCCCAACCCCCAAAATTCTCAAGATGATATTGAGTTTCCACTCTCACTCAACCAGTGGGCTGAAAATGTGACCAACAGACATGTCAGTGGGGACCACTGGGAGGAAAAGGGGAGAAAGGATACAGCACAAAACTGGGGATGGGGTTGGAGGGGAAGTGGGGTGAGAGGCCTCCTCTAATCAAATGAGAACAGGAATGTTACTGAGAAGGCCGGGCTTCTGATACTAAACTACTGCTTAAATAGTCCACATATTCCAATGATGAGATTCAATACAAAAATATAGAAATCTACTGAGTTTTGCCTGTGGAAGCATAATTCAGAAAAGGCACATGTTCAAATAGAAACCCCAGGCAGGAAGAGGTGCCACATACCCCTCCCTACATGATAATCATCCACAGTTATGTATTTTCCATCAGCTAGATCCCAAGATACAGTAGGTAAAAATAGACCTCTGATACTTAAAATATATTCAACCCAACACAATCCTGGCTTTAGCATATGGATCATATAAAATAGTCTTTAAAAAAAAAAGTTTTGAAAAAGAAAAAAAAAAATCATAGCTCACTTTTCCTGGTTTTCCATAAATTCTCAAGGAAAAAATAAAAGTGAACTCATCCCATTGGTAACCAGGGATGTAGCTGACATGCTCACCACCCATCCACAGCCCCTGGGAGCCCCAACTGCTCACTTGTCATGTGTTACGTGTGCAGCTTCACACCCTCAATTAGTTCTAACAAAACGGAACAAAGAATTAAGATATTAGACATATAAAAACATGTCAACATCGAGGCATTTTCCTTTGCTGTGGGTGTGACGGTCTAGTTAACTCCAGAAAGGCTGTCCTTTGGAATTAGGCGATGTAACCATTTGTTTTTCCAAACATGGTCACTGGTGCGAGGTTTTCATAGATTGTCATTGCAGTTGTGTTCTGGTAGATGAGATCTACTTTTGTGTCCTTCTGGGATCTGATAATATCCAAAACACACTGATTGAGGAAAACATACTGGTCCTGTTGGAAAAGGAAGGAGAGAAAACACATGAGCACAGATCCCAGAGATTAGCACCCACGGTTATTTTCAAACAGATTTCCACCACTCAACGCCACCTGCCCCACAGCAAACACTTCAAGTTAACATGTGTCAAGAGGTCACCACAGAGTGCAAGAGTCTCACCATCCATGGTTGTCAGGCAGAAGGGCACACTTCCCACACTTACCCTCAGTCAGATTCCAAGATACAGGAGGTAAAAATAGACTTTAAAGGGGCTGGACTAGTGGCTCAGTTGGTTAAAAGCTTGCTCAAGAGTGCGAGCTCTGAGCAACAGGGTCGCCGGTTCGATTCCCACATGGGCCAGTGAGCTGCCAATAGATGGCAGGATGGCTCAGCTGGTGAGAGCATGTGCTCCTAACAAGGTTGCCTGTTCGAGATGGTGGGCTACACCCGCCTGCAACTAAAGACTGAACTCAGCATCTTCAGCTGAGCTGCCACCCGGGTGGCTCAGGGAATACAACACGCACTCTTAACAGCAAGGCTATGGTTCGACTCACACATGGGATGGTGGTTACGCCCACCCACAACTAATTGAACACAGCACCTTGAGCTAAGCAGCGAGACTGGACTTGGAGCTGAGCTTGCTGTGCCCTCCACAACTAAGATTGAAGGACAACTTGGCTGTTCCCCTCCGCCAATTCCCCAACACTGTTCCCCTCCCCTAGTTCCCCAATAAAGTCTTTTAAAAAATACATATAGACTTTAAAATATATTCAACCCAACAGAATCCTGGCTTTAGCATGTGAATCAGATATAACAATCTTTAAAAAAAAAAATACATCTGTTTGAAAAAGAAAAAAAATCATAGCTCACTTATCCTGGTTTTTCATAATTCTCAAGATAAAAAAAGTTAACTCATCGCATTGGTAATGAGGAATGTAGATGACTTGCTCACCACCCATCCACAGCCCCTGGGAGCCCCAACTTCTCATTTGTCATGTGTTCTGTGTGCAGCTTCACACCCAAGGAGAAATACCAGAATCTTGGGAAAGGGCAAAGAAAGAGTGTGGAGGTGACCATGTATACATACGTTCAAATAACAAGTCCTACAAGATTTTCTTGGCTAGTGAGGATAAGGAGTAAATTGTGATTCTCAGCAGAGGGGGTGGGTTACAGTGGGAATGATGGGGGTAGAGTTGGGTGAGGACCTCCCTGCAGGCCAGCATATCAGAAGCTGCAGGCAGCCATTAAAAAGAGGAAGGAGGGCTCTATGCTGGCATAGAAAAATATCCATGATGGGCCGGCCGAGTGGCGCGATGGTTAAGAACTGGCTTGGGACGCCAGAGGGCCCCAGTTCGGATCCCACATATGAGGGCCAGTGACACT